CAACGCACATGCTTTATGTCTCCTAGGCAGCATTATATTACTACACACCTAATATAGGACAGATAATCCTCCAACATTTTTTAATCAGATAAAATGATAAGGCACCAAGACCACATCAGTTACATTGATCTACAATTTGTTGCATTACAACACACAATATTTGAAAATTGTACTTCATTAAGAAGCAGAAAGTAGCAGGGAAGACATCAGACTGAAAAATGTTACAACTTTTTGCAGAACATGGATTGGAATAAAATAAAACAGTTCATGAAAGTAATTTTTAATCTAACAGCACTTTAATTAATGGGATGTAACAGCTATGTTACTGGGACCTGCCAGTCCCAGCACACTACGAACCACCAGCCCTACGACTAGAGATGTTACATTCTCTTCTCTTTGTTCTTGGCCTGTTTCCTGATTTAACCATTCCACTGTCAAAAGCTTATTAGGCAAGACAGCACACTGCCTTCAAAGCACGTCAAAAACTAGTTTCCTCAACTCAACCTCTATACGTCATTTTTTTAATACCCTTCCAATAATTAAAAATAATTCCTCTGGAACAACAACAGGTTTTTGACAGGAATACACAAACTGCTGTGATCAGAGCAATGATCCACCTAATCCAATAACATATTTCTAGAAGTAACTGGTACCAGATGCTTAAAGTAGCACTAACTATAAGTAGCAATTTCATTTCATGTCTATTTTTGACATTTTAAAAATGCAATTTTGCTTCACAGTATAATGAAATTATCTGATTCCTTATTGCCAAGTGTCCTGTCTCAAAACTCCAGAGAATCACGATCAGGCTTGACTCCAAGCAAAGTCCTTTTTTTAATTCCAAAAGAGGAGAAAGTGGGACTCAGAGCTGGGCCCTCCTGCGATGTATTTCAGTTGACATTCTCACTAATCTTTCTTTCAGACATTGCAGAACACTGTGCAGTAGGAAGCTGACAGATGTCCTTCTCAAAAAGTGCACTTATTCCATCAGTTGATCAACCTATCCCCTGAAGAACAAGGTTTAACTATCTCTTCTCTTAGAGAAGAGAGTTTTTTCCACTTAGAAATAATGCAATGCTAGGCATTCTTACTATGCAATATAATTACACCATTTCTAGACTCTCCAAAAGTTTGGCCATAGTGATAATATGCAGCTATTGATCTCCCAGCCTCACTGTGTACTGTATGAAAAAGGATATCCAGTCACTTCTGTATTTGCACTCGAACACAAAGAGAGTCACAGAGGGCCAGAGGGTCTCCTGAGTGACACATACTGGGCCAACAGAGAGGAAAAGGGGAGCTCAAAAGCTACCCAGCCTAACCATGAGGGGGAAAAAAAAGACAAGTGGATGCAGACAGAAGATAAAGAGAAACATGTGAGGAAATGAAGAATATTGTTCATAGTGACAGAATCCAAGATTTTCCATCATTCCTCTCTAGGCATTGTAATAAAGAAGAACCTTAAGGAGTTTGAAGGGCAGCTTTACAGATATTTATGAAGAACTCTATCAACACTGCAGCACTGGTGAAAATCTTTACAAACAATATTAATTTGAAAATACTAAAAGGGTGAAGACAAAAGATATCACCACTGCTTTACTGGAGAACAGAAGTCAGCATTTTACTAGTACAAGAAAAATTATGCATACAGACAGTAAATCTTAGGGGACCTTGAAACCAAAACAGCTGAGTGTTTGATGTGACTGAGAACAGGAACCAATAGAAGATTCAAAGGGGGTAGAAGGTTCAAAGGCTTAATCCCAGCTGCAACTTTCTGAACCTCTATGAACAAAGCAAGACCACACTTGTGAATGCCAGACAGGGCATTAAGACACAAAATGATGAAAACCTGCAGGGAGAAAA